CTCTTCCTTTTCTCAAACAAAACAAATTAATAAAGAGAATTTAAAGAAGAATTAAAATTAAATCTAACTAAGTAAATTAACTAAGTAAGCAATCAAGAAAATTAAAGAAAAAAATTAATCGAAAGCAGTGAATATTATGAGAAAAACAATTAAATAGAAACCTCCAACATAGAATTAATATCCCCCTTGACAACAATAACATGGATCATTGATATCTAAAGATTATGAGAACCTTGAATAGCCTGTCGGACTTAACCTAAATTACATTAATTAGATAAGATTACCGATCAAAGTCAATCTATCCCTTTTATTCTTTCAGCAATCAATTACTTTCTTAGGGCTTAAAGATCACTTAGGAATAAAGCATGAAGAACAAGTAATTTAATAACAAGCACAATGAGAAATTTCTCGCCCATTGATCCTTTTCTCTCTTAGACGGAGGATCAATTCACATCCAATTGCTACATAAAATTAAGCTGGAGGATCAATTCACAACTTAATCTAGCTAATGCTAACTCAATCTATCATGAAAGTGTCGACCCAATCAATTAAAACAAGCAACATAGAATTCATACAGAGATCCAAGAAATACTCAAATAAATTCTCATATAAAAGCACAAAATCTCACCATGGAATAAGTCAAGAGATCAATTAAATTCTACATTGGAGAAAAGAAAGGGATTACTCACTCATAAATTGAATGAGCATCCACAAATAAGAAGAAGAGAACTTATCTATGGATGAGGAAGAGAAGGGGCGGCGGCTCCTAGGGTTTTTCTCCTCCAAATCTTCAACTACACAATAAATCTTATGAGAATAAAAATTACATACAAAATCTAGTCCTAAGGTGGCTATTTATAGTGGAGGAACATAGGTAGGGCGGTTTAGGGCTGACTTAGACTCCAAGTTGGATTAGATGTCATCTTAGAGTAGAATCCAAGTTAAAATAGGATTGTGGAATTTTCTGGAATCTGGCAGGAACTTCGACGTCAAATTCGGGCTTGTAGATGGCAAATCTGGGCTTTGCACTTCAAAAGAAAGTTGTAGAGCTCGGAGTTAGCTTTCCAACGGCTAGTCATGGGCTTAAAACGGACTTCTGAGCAGAAAGTTATGGCTTTTCTACGAAAACTGCGCTGAAACCGGGCTTATATCGCAAATCTGCGGGATTATTACGGGATTTGGATATTGTTTTGGATATTTGGCCTATAAATTGGGATTTTAACTCCAATTATAGGTTTATATGGGCTGAGTATATTCCCATATAAATAATCCAAAAATCCTAAACTTCAGGGCTTCTTCTGGACTTGGCTTCAATCCTTTGCAAATAAGCTCCAATCTTCAATTCTTGCTTCTTGAAATAATTCTTCAATGATCTTCAAATCTTCAAATTATCTTCAAAAAATCTTCAAACACGAACTTTGCATCTCCAAATCTATACTCAAAATTACTTTGCTAATATCTGTGTGAAAAGTCATAAAAATAGCTCCAAAAGTAGTGAAAATAAGCAAATTCTCAATTTCACTTCTCATAAAGACTAAAAACACAAATACTTAGAAAATAAGGTAAAAATGCACATAAAAGTGGTAAAAAGTATAGAAAAATAGCCATAAAAATATGCATAATTTGAGCTCGATCATATTTTCCCCTACACTTGAACTTTGCTAGTCCCTTAGCAAAATCAATGTAAGTTAATCAAAAATCAAAATTTTCAAAAGATCAATTTGACTTCATTCATATATCAAAGAATCAATTTAATCATGAAATTAAAATAGCAAAGAACATCAATAATACTTAATCCACAGATCAATCAATAGCAAGCATTATCATTCTTAAGTAGCCATAATCAAAGTAGCTCTAATCACTTGCCATCCCTCACTTTTATAACTACTTCTCTCTATAAGCTTGTATATTCATCTTTCTCTCCATTACTCAAAAGATTACAATGTCATAAATAAACCAAGAATTCATGTGCGTTATAATAGTTTTTCAAGGGTAATTGATTTTAGAAAACTGAGGTTACTAACCTCTGAAGTGTTTATGCTTAGGGGTTACTAACTCCCTTTATTTTAATTTTGAGTCTACTAGCACTCTAGAGGGACAATATTTCTGTTGATCCATGCCTCTTATCCTCTTCCCAAGGGTTACTAACTCCTTTTGTTTAAAGAGAAGAGTGACAACAATGGAGTTTTTTTTTTAACAGAAAATATCTCTTCTCCTCTTGCATAAGATCACTTCTTTATGAAAACAATTTTAATTACCCTTTATATAGATAGTCCCCCACACTTATTCTTGACAAATCTATAGCATGCTTTCTTAATTGTAACTTCAATCAAAATTCAATACAAGTTCTAGAAATAGATAATCATGAAAGCAATGAATAATAAGATTATATCACAAACTTCAATTATACCTAATTCTAAGAAATCAAAACTTCTTACTATAAATTAATCAAAGAATAAAGTATTATTAAAAATTCTAAACATTCATCAATCATAATCAAATCAATCATTCAATATATGCTTGAAAAATCAAAGAGTTTGAAAAATAAAGTATAAAGTATTATTAAAAATTCTAAACATTCATCAATCATAATCAAATCAATCATTCAATATATGCTTGAAAAATCATCAAAATTTTCAATTACAAAAATCAATTTGTCGAAAAAATTTTCAAAAATTGGGGAAAAATAAGCGATAAAAAAAATCATATTTTTATCCTAGATTCTCATGCAAAAGACTATCATATGACTCAATAATCAAACAATAGTCCTATCAAGTATTCACCCCTCCCCCCCCCCCCCCCCCACACTTAAAATTCACAATTTCCTTAATGTAGAAGCAATCATAAAATCAAAGCAGGCAAAATAGCTTACCAAAAATAAAGAGTTAAGGTTCATGAAACATACCAAAGCGGCTTTGATGAAGATAATTACTCAAACAAAGAGACAATAAAAATTAAAGTGATAGGAAAATAAAACTAGATAATTTATTAATGAAACTTGAAAATAAAGACATAAAATAAAGAAAAATAAAGCATAAACTAAATAGCTAAACCTAAGATGCTTAAAAATAAAATCCTAAATCTAGAAAACATAAATTAAAATTAAAATCCTAATTTTAAAACCTAAATTGGTTTAGGAATAGCCTTCTCCAATAAATTGAAGAGGTTTTCCAAATTCCCAATTATAGTATCAAAATCCTCTCTTAGGCTAGCAACTTGATCACTTAAATCCTTAAATTGAGCAAGGAAAGGATGAGATGCTTCCTTAATTTCCTTCTCTTGATTCACCTCCTCTTTTCCTTCCTTATTCTCATCACTAGAAGCATCACTTGATTCAGAAGCAGAAGCAATTATCACGATATCATCTTCACCGTGACCTTCTTCATACAACGGATCTCTTGGTCCAATTGGAATTGAGGACTTATCATTTAATTCTTCCAAGGTAAAAACAGTAGCAACAGATGCAGTTCTTGGTTGATTAGATGAAGAAGCATAAAAAGGATCATGAAACCTTTGAGGAAAAGGGGCACATCGCATAGGAGGTCTATAGGGTGGCCTATAGGGCTTGGTGTGATACCCATCAATCTTTGGCATAGGAAAAGGCTTACTCCAAGGTGCAATATGAGGTCGAATTCTCCCATTAAAGTTCCTTGGGTGAGAGAATCGATTTCCATAGGGATGGAAACGCTTTTCAAATTCTTTCTCAGCTCTTTCCTTTGATCTTATAACAGCTTCATGTGACTTGTTAGCTTTGTCCCAAAGAAATTGATAAATCATCCTAGCTTTGAAACCGGGTTTAGCCTCAATTTCATCCTTAGATAGCAACGAAATCATACTCAAGAGTTCATGACAATCTTGGCGAAGAAAACTTCCTTCAAATTTTGGACTGAATTGAGAAGCTCCAATTCGATAAAATTGATCCTTAAACTTCTTGAATTGAACTTCAAAATCCATGTTGGTTGTTGCTAGCATCATCGACATCTTCAATTAGAAAGGGCTTGTCAACTTCTTCTTAAATTGAGGAGAATAGCCAAATCGACTTGCTCCCTTAATGATCGACTTCCTTGTCGATTTGCTTCTTGTAAAGTCGGCTTTGCTCTAGTCGACTTCTCCTCTAATCGGCATTGCTCTCAAAAATTGCTTCTTAACCGAATTTTTAAGCTCTCAAATATTGCTTCTTGTGGTTTGATGAATAAAGAGAGAATAGAGGTGCCTTTATATAGTGATCAAATTCTAGTCCTAAGAGGTTTTAGTTAGAGTAAAAAGTAAGAAATATACCTTAATTAGGATTACATTACATATATGGAAAAGGTGTTGGTGTTGGAAATCAATTAGGAACTCAATTTCCTAGTCAATATAGGAGATTAAATCCTAACACACTTTGCATAGGCATGGCGCGATACTTGCATGGTTAGGTCCGGGTTTGGCGCGGCATTCTCCTAGTGCGAGCGGGACATGGCCGGGCATGGCTCGGATCAAGGCTGAGCAGGTCCTGGTGGTGGCGCGGGACGCGGGCTGCTGCTGCTGGTGCTATCTCGGCATGGCGGAGTGGAGCGGCTACTGCTGCTGGTGCCTCGGGCTTGTCCGGTTGTGGCTGGTATTGCGCAGGCTAAGGCGCAGCATGTAGCGCGGCATGGCTGGTTCTAGCTCGATGATGTCCGGTGAAAGTGCATGGCATGGCTCGATGATATCCGGTCTATGCTTGGTACGGTGCCGAGCTTGGCCTGGCGATGGCGCGGTAATGCCTAGCCTTAGCCGGGTCAAGGCTTGGTTTTGTGCGACATGATCAAGTTATGACCGGCCATGCATGCTAATTCTCCGAGTTTCATCCGAGCATGCATGGTCTATGGCTTGGTGCTTGGTACTTTTTACTCCTTGGATAAATTTTCTTCAATTTAATGGAGAAAATTCATAAAACTAAAAATTTAAAATTAAAATTGGGTTGCCTTCCAACAAGCGCTTGTTTAAAGTCATTAGCTTGACTCTTCCTCTCTTCGACCTTAAATTGGAAGATAAATAGGATCCTCCAATTTAATTTCTTCAATCAACGCTATTGTTAATGGTTCGAAGTAAGGCTTGAGTCTTTGCCCATTAACTTTAAATTGATTCCCTTTAATTGGATTAACTATTTCCACTGATCCATTGGGGTATACTTGTATTATCTCATAAGGTCCTCCCCATTTTGATCTTAATTTTCCATGATGTTTGATCGAACTTGTAAATAACAAAACTTTCTGACCTTCATGGAATGTTCTTCTTAATATCCTTTGATCATGCAGAGCTTTAGTTTTTTTCTTGTAAATTCTTGCATTCTCATAGGCTTCATTCCTAATTTCCTCAAGCTCTTGCAATTGTAACATCCTTTGAATTCCAGCTTTGTCAAAATTAAGATTGCATTGCTTAACTGCCCACCATGCTTTGTGCTCTAATTCCACAGGTAAATGACATGGTTTTCCAAACACAATTCTGTATGGGGACATACCTAGAGGTGTCTTATAAGCTGTACGATAGGCCCATAAAGCATCTCCTAGTCGCATACTCCAATCCTTTCTTTGAACATTGACTGTTTTTTCCAAAATCAGCTTCACTTGACGATTAGATATCTCAGCTTGTCCACTAGTTTGAGGATGATATGAAGTAGATACCCTATGGTGTACTCCATATTTCTCAACTAGTGCTTGCACAATCTTATTACAAAAATGAGTTCCACGGTCACTGATGAGGTATCTTGGTATTCCAAATCGATGCAGAATATTACTCTTCAAAAATTTGACCACAATCCTAGCATCATCTTTTTCCGTAGCAATAGCTTCAACCCATTTAGAAACATAATCCACGGCTAAGAAAATGTAATACTTCTTGTCCAAGGGAGGAAAAGGTCCCATGAAATCAATTCCCCATACATCGAAGACTTCTGCAACGAATATAGGTGATTGAATCATCTGATTCCTTTTCGATATACTTCCAACTCTCTGACATTGTGGACAGGCTTTGCAAAACTCATAAGAATCCTTGAAAAGTTTAGGCCAATAGAAGCCACACTCTAGGATTTTTCTTGCGGTCTTCTTGTGTCCAAAGTGGCCTCCACATTCATCTCCATGGCAAAATTTCAAAAACAGATTGAGTCTCATTGTCGGGAATGCATCTTCTCATGACTAAGTCGGATCCTTGCCTCCATAAGTACGGATCATCCTATAAATAGTACTTGGCGTCACTTATGATCTTCAATTTTTGTCCTCTGCTAAGATCTGAAGGTAGGCGACGAACAACTAAGTAATTGACAATATCAGCATACCAGGGAAGTTGAGAAACAACTAACAATTCTTCAAAAGGCACCACTTCATTGATTGCGATTTCCTCTTCTTTGCTTTCAATTCTACTTAGGTGATCGGCAACAACATTCTCAGCTCCTTTCTTGTTTCGTATTTTGATATCAAACTCTTGGAATAACAAAAGCCATCGCATAAGCCTAGCTTTTGCTTCTTTCTTTTTCATTAGATATCTCAATGCAGCATGATCGGAGTAGATTATCACCTTAGATCCTAGGATATACGGTCTAAACTTTTCCAAAGCAAAGACAACGACAAGCATCTCTTTTTCTGTGGCAGTGTAGTTCTTTTGAGCAGCATCTAGGGTTCTTGAAGCATAATAGATAACATGAGGTACCTTGTCAACTCTCTGACCTAGAACAGGTCTAATGGTAACGTCACTTGCATCACACATGATTTCGAACGGTAGTTTCGAATCAGGTGGTTTCACAATTAGAGTGGTGGTGAGTGCAGTCTTCAACTTATCGAATGCTTCCTTGCAATCGTCTCCAAATTCGAACTCTATATCCTTCTGTAATAATCTACACATGGGCGCTGAGATCTTTGAGAAATCCTTGTTAAATCTTCGGTAGAATCCAGCATGGCCTAAGAAAGAGCGAATATCTTTGACACATGTCGGATATGGCAGGTTCTGTACAACGTCGACTTTGGCTTTATCGACTTGCATCCCCTCTTTGGATACTACATGGCCTAGAACAATACCTTGTTCTACCATGAAGTGGCCTTTTTCGGCATTCAATACCAATTTGGTTTCAACACACCTTTTGAAGATGAGTTCTAGATTATTGAGACATTGATTGAAGTTATCTCCATAGACTGTGAAATCGTCCATGAAATCTTCCATCTTATCTCCCACATAATCTTGAAAGATGCTCATAATACACCTTTGAAAAGTTGCAGGTGCATTCCATAAATCAAAAGGCATTCTTGTGTAAGCATACGTACCGAAAGGGCATGTAAACGTGGTCTTCTCTTGATCTTCAGGTGCAAGTGGAATTTGAAAATATCCCGAGTATCCATCTAGAAAACAATAGTAGGCCTTGCAAGCTAATCTTTCCAGCATCTGATCAATGAATGGCAGCGGAAAGTGATCTTTTCTTGTGGTGGAGTTCAGCTTTCTGTAGTCAATGTATACTCTCCATCCATTCTGCAATCTTTGAGGAACTAGCTCTCCGTCCTTGTTTTCTACGACCATGAATCCAGACTTCTTTGGAACTACTTGGACCGGGCTAATCCATTTACTATCTGATATAGCATAAATGAGACCAGCTCCAAGTAATTTAAGAACTTCATCTTTAACAACTTCAGCAAGATTCGGATTTAGTCTTCTTTGCGGCTATCGAACTGCTACTGCATCATCTTCAAGTTGAATCCTATGCATGCATATAGTATGACTTATTCCTTTGATATCAGCTACAGTCCATCCAATGGCTTCTTTGTATTCCTTCAAGACTCAGATTAGTTGTTCTTCTTGTAAATCATTCAATTTACTTGAAATAACAACAGGCAGGGTATCATTATCTCCAAGGAAAACATGTTTCAGGCCTTCGGGAAGCGGTTTCAGCTTGACTTCTGAAGGTTGAATGATGGATGGTAACGGCTTGGGCGTTGGCTCCAGATTGATGTAAGAAATCGTCTCCACCTCTTCGTTGAATGATAGTTCGCTGACAGTTTCTGCAATCTCTTTTGGCATCTCGACTTCTACTTCTTCAACGTCTTGTTGATGTAAACTTTTGGTGAGGATCACCTCAAGTTCATCTTCTTGATTGAGTTCTTGTACTTCTTCTGAGTAAGTACCAATTGTGTCAATGGAATAGATAGAATGAACTTCGGTAGGGGCTTTCATTGCTTCACTTATGTTGAATACAATAAGCTTCCCATCGAATTCCATAGTGATTGTTCCTTCTTTTGCGTTGAATTCCATACTTGCTGCAATCAAAAGCGGTCTTCCTAACAGTAGTGGCATTTAAGGTAGATGAATGTCATCCTCGCTCATCTTCAAGACATAGAAATCTGCAGGAAAAACAAAATCTCCTATCTGCACTAAAACATTCTCAACTAAACCTTCAGGTTTATGATTAGTTCTATCAGCAAATTGGATAATAAGATCAGTTTCAAGTAGAGGTTCTATTTTCAGTTGCTTATAAACAGAATAAGGCATGATATTGATCAAAGATCCATATTCACACATAGCATTACCTACTTCATTCTTCCCTATACTACAAGGAATAGAAAAGGAACCTAAACTATTGCATTTATGATGCAATTTCCTTTGATAAGCAGGAAATATATTTTCATCCATGCAGGCATATTTTTCATCATACTTAGTCTTGTTATTGCATAATTCTCTGAGAAAAGAAGCATACCTTGGTACTTTGACTATTTCATCAACTAAAGGAATGTTTACCTCTAATTTCCGAAGTAAATTGAGTTGTTGAGCAAACCTTTGAGGGAATGGTAGTGGATCATACTTAGCTTGCATCTCCTCCATCCATTCTTCTTCTGATTGTTGATGTTCATCGTTTATTGCAGCAGGTAAGTCGTTCTTGATCTCGGTTGAAGTCTCCATATCTCCTTGTATTTGCTCGTCGAATTCATCAATTGGTGAGGATGTATCAGGGAAAACAGGTGCTGGAGGTGAAGATATCGTAGGTTGTAATAGCATATCATGTGATTCCAACTCTTGTGGGTATCGATATAGAAGTTCTCCAATGGCATTGATCCCATGACCTTGTATGTTTCCTCTCATAGGTCCTTGTGGCACATATGGGGGAATTTGAGCATAAGCTTGTGATTGGATATTCATGAAATTAGTAAACATCATTGTTAAAATTCCACATTGAGCAGTCAATGAGGATATGGTGTATTTGGTTTCATCTACGAACTCTTTTAGCTCCTTGTGGATTTCCGATATCTCAGACTCCTTTGCTGCGTCGGCTTCATTGGTTGTACCAATTTGGTGTATGTTCTCTACCATAGTGTTGAGCAGCTTCCTTGCTTCTTCAGGGGTTTTGAATGTAAGTCCTCCTCCACTGGCAGCGTCGACATAGGTGCGATCTTCATAAATAAGGTCATCATAAAAGTGTTGAATCAAAAGTGTTTCGCTGATGTTGTGGTAGGGGCAACTTGCGCAGATCTGGTTATATCTCTCCCAGTATTGGTACCACTTTTCGCCTTTCAATTGTTGACAAGTGTTGATCTTTATTCTGACATCAGCACGCTTAGCTTCCGGAAAGTATTTATTCAGAAATATTGTTTCCATCTCTTTCCAAGATTTTATGGATTTGGGTGGTAGTCTTAAGAACCATTCTTTTGCCTTTCCGTCTAATGTGACAGGAAAAGTTCGAAGTTTCAAGTCTTCTTCAGGCATCCCAGTGACTGTGGCACACTTCAGAAAGAAACTTTGCAGATGTTCATGAGGATTCTCATGATGTTCTCCTTGAAAAATCGGCAGCATACGGATTACTCCTGGCTTCAATTTGTAAGACATATCCATGGCTGGATAGTCAATACAAAGGGGTTGCAATTCACAGTTGAAATTCAGCTCTCGCAAAGTTTCTGATTGCTCAATTGAATCTATTCTGCAAAACAAAGATGATCAAGTGCAAATCTAATCTAATAGAAAAATAAGAGAAAAAGAAAATTAAACACAATCTCCCCGGCAACGGTGCCAAAATTTATGATCGGTCGTCATCAATCATAAAAATAATTATCCCAACAATTACTAACTAAACTAGCTAGAGCAAGTAGGGGTCGAACCCACAGAGAGATCGGCTCTTCCTTTTCTCAAACAAAACAAATTAATAAAGAGAATTTAAAGAAGAATTAAAATTAAATCTAACTAAGTAAGCAATCAAGAAAATTAAAGAAAACAATTAATCGAAAGCAGTGAATATTATGAGAAAAACAATTAAATAGAAACCTCCAACATAGAATTAATATCCCTCTTGACAACATAACATGGATCATTGATATCTAAAGATTATGAGAACCTTGAATAGCCTGTCGGACTTAACCTAAATTACCTTAATTAGATAAGATTATCGATCAAAGTCAATCTATCCCTTTTATTCTTTCAGCAATCAATTACTTTCTTAGGGCTTAAAGATCACTTAGGAATAAAGCATGAAGAACAAGTAATTTAATAACAAGCACAATGAGAAATTTCTCGCCCATTGATCCTTTTCTCTCTTGGACGGAGGATCAATTCACATCCAATTGCTACATAAAATTAAATTGGAGGATCAATTCACAACTTAATCTAGCTAATGCTAACTCAATCTATCATGAAAGTGTCGACCCAATCAATCAAAACAAGCAACATAGAATTCATACAGAGATCCAAGAAATACTCAAATAAATTCTCATATAAAAGCACAAAATCTCACCATGGAATAAGTCAAGAGATCAATTAAATTCTACATTGGAGAAAAGAAAGGGATTACTCACTCATAAATTGAATGAGCATCCACAAATAAGAAGAAGAGAACTTATCTATGGATGAGGAAGAGAAGGGGGCGGCAGCTCCTAGGGTTTTTCTCCTCCAAATCTTCAACTAAACAATATATCTTATGAGAATAAAAATTACATACAAAATCTAGTCCTAAGGTGGCTATTTATAGTGGAGGAACATAGGTAGGGCGGTTTAGCGTTGACTCAGACTCCAAGATGGATTAGTGCTGACTTGGGCTTGAAGATGGCAGATCTGGGCTTTGCACTTCAAAAGAAAGTTGTAGAGCTCGGAGTTAGCTTTCCAACGGCTACTCATGGGCTTAAAACGGACTTCTGAGCAGAAAGTTATGGCCTTTCTACGAAAACTGCGCTGAAACCGGGCTTATATCGCAAATCTACGGGATTATTACGGGATTTGGATATTGTTTTGGATATTAGGCCTATAAATTGGGATTTTAACTCCAATTATAGGTTTATATGGGCTGATTATATTCCCATATAAATAATCCAAAAATCCTCAACTTCAGGGCTTCTTTTGGGCTTGGCTTCAATGCTTTGCAAATAAGCTCCAATCTTCAATTCTTGCTCCTTGAAATAATTCTTCAATGATCTTCAAATCTTCAAATTATCTTCAAGAAATCTTCAAACACGAACTTTGCATCTCCAAATCTATACTCAAAATTACTTTGCTAATATATGTGTGAAAAGTCATCAAAATAGCTCCAAAAGTAGTGAAAATAAGCAAATTCTCAATTTCACTTCTCATAAAGACTAAAAACACAAATACTTAGAAAATAAGGTAAAAATGCACATAAAAGTGGTAAAAAGTATAGAAAAATAGCCATAAAAATATGCATAATTTGAGCTCGATCACTATCAAATGATGTATAACCCTTCTTGGCCGAACTATTTCTCTTCACTTGACCTTTGGCCTTCAATGCATTTCGTAACATCTCTTCTAGATCATAATGTTGTTGCATCTCAACAATGTCATGGATCTCTCTATTCAATCCAGCAAGAAACTTAGCCATAGTGGCTTGTGGAGCTTCTTCAACTTCAGCCCTAAACATCAACAACATCATCTCTACATAATACTCATCAACACTCTTAGACCCTTGCCTCAAAGCTTGCAAACGTTGGTATAAAGAGTTAATGTAGTAACTTGGCACAAATCTTCTCCTCATAGCACTCTTCAAATCAGCTCATGTATCAATCGGTCTCTCCCTATTTCACCTCCTAGCTTGTACCAACTGATTCCACCAATTTAATGCATTCTCAACAAACTCACGGATAGCAATTTGTACCTTTTTTGTTTTTGCAAAAGGATTGTAGTCGAAGTACAAGTCCAACTTTGATTCCCAATCCAAGTAATCTTTAGGAGTACCCCTCCCATTAAACTTAGGAATCTTGTACTTGATATTATCTTTTGGCTCAACTCTATCACCAAATCTCCTTGGACGCAAGTTATCCAAATAAGTCTCTCCTCCAGCTAATTGCTCTCTCAAACGATCTAATGGACCTCCGCTAGCGGCTGCCCAAGGAGCTCGAGGCTCCCTCATAGCATCTTCACCTATTTCAACACCCAATTGCCTCCTTGGTGGTGGTAGTTGGGCATTACCATGCACTACATTAGCCCTATATTGACTTTGGCCCTCTCTCACTTGATGAACTTCATTTGCTAAGGTCTCCATGCGTTGATCAATTTGTGTAGACAAGTTGTCCATTCGTTGCACTAAGTCTTGCAACATAGTGGCCAAGTTATCGACTTGATTTTCTCCATCTTTTCGATCTCCCATTGTACCTGCAATAAAAGATTAGTGAAAATAAGAAAAACCTCACACTCACGTGTGTTTACCACAACTTTCACTCGTGTTTGTCACTCAATATGAGTCGGCCTCAACCTTTAATCACTCTAAAGATGTAACACACTCTTTCCTTTTACCACTCCTTAGCTTAGGTAGGTCTAATAGGAACAACTTGTAAGGATTAAATCGCTCTTCTCATGATCTACTTGACGAACAAACAATTAGTAGCAAAAAATTAGATGAGACTCAAAGTAGTGATCTCGAAACCAAACCAACTTGAAGAACTCCAATTTGATGTAGATAGTGTCGAACTCAAGCTCAATTTTCCGCAGCAACTTCCTAGATTCACAACAATGTTTTTCGATTTGTTCAATTGAAGACAAATCGAAACGCTAATCTCAAAAGCTTAGAACCCTAATCTGAAACCCTAGAAACCCAAATTGAATTTCAATAAGCTTCAAACTTGAAGATTCTTTCATTCAACTATTGATGTGTTAAATTCACTCCTTAATTGCAGCAGCAGCTCCCCAAATCTTCACACAACTCTTTCAATTTCTTCAATTAAGGCCAACTGCAAATTGCAAACCCTAATCCCCAAAAAACCCCAATCCGCAAATTTTTTTTGGAATTTTCACTATTTTTCTATGAAAGATAATAGTGTATAAACCCTAAATCTAAAATTACAAGTAAATCGCACCACTATTGAATGTAAAACAAAAACCAGAAATCCTCCATGCAAAGTTGTCAGTAACAGAACTAATGAAGATAGATAGATTTAACCGATTGAACTTGAAACCCAAGCTTTGATACCAAATGATAACCTTCACCCTTGATCAGATCTTCTTTCATCAGCCTTAGATAATCTATTAGACCTGCAATAGGCAACCTAAGATCACAAGTTTCACAACTAAGTAATCCCTACTTAATTGTTTGCTAGGACTCTACAAGATTGAAGAAATCCTAAGTATGTTCTCACTAGAACAATGACGCTAAACTCACAAGGTGAATAAACACTCAATTGATTTATGAACTTAACTTAGGTTTACAAGAGATGGTCGAACCCCTTATATAGTTCTTAGGATTCGGCCATAAGAAAAATAAAGGTCCTATGGGCGGCTAACAGGTTCCCATAAGGACAACGAAAACTAGTCCAAGCCCAACTAAGAAAAGAAATGAAAATAGACTCAAACAAGGATTGGAATTTAATCAAACAAGACCCAACCTTAATAATATCGAAACTGAAAAATAAGCTAAACTAAGATAGGATAAAGGCCTCACATGGCCGAATGGGTCTATACATCCCCAAATTAGGTCTCAATAGCAAGCAAAGTAATGAGATTGTCTTTCGGTCGTATTTTTTTGCTCAAATCATCTCCAAATGTCTTCAATAGAACTTCAATGGATTTCATATCTTCAAGATGGGTTCAAACAAAGCCCATGAGTGTTTCCTTGAACTTCTTGACTCTTGATCTTGTTATTGCTCAATGGATCGAATGGCATCTTGTTGAGCTTTGGTGCAAATACATCTTGATCTCCTTGGTCTCCTTGTATCTTCATGCCTCCATGCAGCCCATGCACATCCTCTCCATGCTCTCCCCGAGACTTTTCAAAATTGAAAAATCCCTAAACCCAAATTTGAAAAACACAAATAAAAAGAAAAAAATATAATTATTTGGACAACAGATTGAACTTGAAAAAACCTGAAATGGAAGTTCATGATCTTTTTTGTTTTTAATTTTGGGTTCAACTGGGGGTTATTGCATATATCTATGAGGTTTTAGAGAGAGAAAGAGAAGAAAAAAAAGAGAGAGAGAAAGAAGGAAAGAGCAAAGGGAGAGAGAAGAGAACCATTGGAAATAAAATTTTTGACGTGTAAAAAGAAAAGGAGAAAAAAAATCATTAATTGTCACTAGGGATGTAATCGAGTCGAGCCGAGCCGAACATCTCAATATTCGAGTTCGAGCTCGGGCTCGAGCTCGGTCGAGCTTTGTTTTTGGTACTCGAACTCGACTCTATCGAGCCGAGCTTGAACCTAATCGAGTAATTTGACAAATTCAAAAATACTTTATATATCTTTAACAAAAAAATCCGACCGAATAAACTCTATCAACTAAAAAATTGAAAACATAGGATCTCGAATATGAAATTAAGAAATTAATTAGTTTAAAAAAAAGAAAAAAAAGAATCCGAAAATTTTGAAAGGCAAAACAAGCTTTATTGAACAAAAAATAACAAGAAAAAGGTCTAGCCATGGTCTTCCTCTTAAAGGCTGCTATGATTCCTGATGGTGTTGATGAAATACTTGCTAAGCAACTCGTTGGTAAATGCAAAATCGAAGATGTGAGAGATCTAGCCAAATCGCTCATAGATCTAGGTTTGAAAAGAAGTGGGGGTGGGGGCGGCGTGCGTGGGGTGAGGGACTGAGGGGTGGGTGGTTTGAAAAGGAAAAAAAAATGGATCTAGATTTTTAAGACGTTCTATTACAATAACAAACTTATCCTTTTTATTAAAAATGTATAAGGTATTTGTGTAAGGTTAATAAGGTAATTGAACTATAAATATATTATATTTATATTAAGGAGGCTCGTTTAGACTCGACAAGCCTACGAGCCGAGTATTAAAATGCTCGAGCTCGGCTCGTTGAACTAGGGCTCGAGCTCGAGTTCGGCTCAAATTTTTCGAGTCGAACTCGAATTTTTCTCGAGTCGAGCCTGACCCGAATAGTTCACGAACTGTATTATATCACTTACACCCCTACTTGTCACCAAAATCCAAGTATGTTTTCTCACCATCATTGTACTTACTTTTATTATTACATGGCTTTCCAACCAAAACGGACCAAACCCAAACTAACCATGGACATAAAAAGATCCAATTTTAACTTCAGCCTCCAGCTCCAGCCACTAGGAATTTGATTATAAAGCCCACTTTGTGCCATGTTTACCTTGAAACAAGACCGATGAATTAGTTGTTTTGGACTTGATTCAAGGATTCCTAACTCTCTTCTCGCGGTTACAATAATCAAATTTTTTATTCATAAATCAATAATCAAATTGAAAATATAAAAAATTAGTTAATAAGCATGAATTAGCTGTCGAAGCTTTCTGTTTCAGCATTTTCATTTTCATCTTCAAGAAGATCATCAGGTTGCCTTAGGTATAAAAACATACAATAAACTATCAGTAGAGTTTAACATACTACATATATAGTGGGTTATGGGTTGACAAGTGTCTTGTAGAGTATGTTTGGATGAGAGTTTTGAATGAGGACTTTCATTTGGAGAGAGACTTTTAAAGAGTTAAAATTAAAAATCCTTGTTTGTCAAAAACAATATTAGGTTTTCAAATTTCTTAAGAATTTTGAGAGGAATTTTCGAAAAACCCAAAACCTCTCTCCAAAATGCTTCTGATATGGTGTCTTTTCCAAAATCCTCATGTTTTATAACCTAATTACCCATATTTATTAACTTTCTTTTTTCATGCAATTTTTTTTTTAACTTGAATGATAAAAATTTATTTTTGAATTATATATTTTCACTCACACATACCATCTATACAATTTTATAAATAAAATGATATCCATATTCAATCTTTTTTTATTTCTAAGATTATTTTTTATAATTAAGGTTTATTTCATTAAAATTTTCAAACTATTTATAATTTCTTTTTAAAAATTATTCATCCAAACTATGTAATTCTAATTGCTAGCGTTTTGAATTGATAGATTTTAAAAAATCTTTCTTTTCAATTCTTTGAAATTTTAAATTTCCCCACCCAAACACACTTTTAGGGAATAATTTTTGAAAGATATACACTGTTAGTGGAGTTTAACATGACATATATGGGGTTTAAGGGTTGACATGTGTCATTTAGGGAATAATTTTGAATTTTAAAAACAAAATTAATTAATAAAATATATATAGGTATGTGTTGTGTCAACTCCTTAACCCGCTTATGTAGTCCAACATTTACACTGACAGTGTATTGTATAATAATTCATAGTTTTTAACATTAAATACAAAATTAATTAAAGAATGGGGTATATGTCAACACCTTAACCCGCTTGTAAAGTCTAAATTTTACATTGAAAGTATACATTATATAATATCGTAATACACTGACGATCATTTTTAATCTTGGTTTCAATAATCAGAATTTAATCTCTAACACTGTAGAAAAGAAGAAAATAAAAAGAATGTTAAACTCTTGATCATTTCAATAATAATAATAATAAGTGTGTTCAATTTTTAATGGTTTCACGTACAAAAACATTTATCAAACAACCGAACAAGATTTGAGTCTGACATGTCTACGATCCTTTTTCTTCCTTTAATTAGGAGAAGATCAAGTAAAATTCAAATTCAAATTCAAATTGCTTGTCGAGGTGGGTACAATGAAAGTTTTTCGCATCGGAATGATATTAATGAATCATGCAGTTAGGTTTTACCAAAACCATTCTAAAATTAGTGGATGCTTACTAATCTAGCTAATACTTTTTAAAGTAACAAAAGGGATGAGTTATGATAATTACTCTCTTCATATACGTTTTTGTACACACACAAAAACCCTTCCCCCGTCATCTCATGATATGGTTTCGTCCAATATTATAGTCGAGTTAAAAATCGAGAAAAAAAAACCAATATTTATATATAGGTAGTTGTTCATCGTACGTGACTTAAAATAAAAATCACATATATATGGACTGGTCTCAACATCTTTCTGCATGAACTATCATGTTTGGTAACAGTTGGACATGCTTTTTATGATAATCCAATGGTGGAAGAAGAAGAGCTAGCTACAAAGGGATTTTTTTTTTCCTTTTTCGTCCTTTTTATAAGATGACAAAACTTATGTTCGTGCACGTTTTAATAACTATATATATATATATATATATATATATTTATATTTGTTTGTGTGTCTTATGATGAAAGTTTCCATTATAAACTCCGAATGATAAGGCAATATCATTCATTGCTAAAGTTTTCAAATACT